TCAAATAATCCGCTCAAAGTGCCATTAGAAACTAACCATCGTTAGTCGTTAATATCCACAATCGAAACATATAAACTATTACAAATAGTTATAAATAAAATTAAAACAATATTAAACATCTGTTTATTATCATGACCTCCTCAACTCATCAGAAAGTAACGAAGATCCATCTAAAATAATCAAGGCTGTGAAATGAACAGCTAAACTATTTCAGCAGAATTTTCGTGAAGCATTTTTTTGTATATCTATAAATTACAGATTATGTGTTGACATTTGGTGATTGACAACGAGAATTCACTACGCCTTTAGACATACAATATAATCTAATCGTAAGCCTTTTAATGCTTCACTAGTTCAAATTATTTTATTAAATAGCACTAACATAGTATTAACTTGAAGAAGCATTTATTTTATTTATTTGTTTAAACTCATAAATATTAGCACAAAGGTGTTCCGCAGTATATATTCGCCACAAAAATCACTGAATACATGTGTTAGCTGAGAAACTGCCTGGGTGCTCAAACCGAAACCGATGGTCTTGTCGGGGAGCTACTCCCCGAGCTTTTGACTAGTCCATTCAAAAGCAATTTACTTATGTTCAAGTACAGATTTGTCCTACAAATTATAGTTTAACCATTTAATTCACCTAAAGTTAGCTACATATGTGAAAAATGAACTAAAAAAGAAATCATAACAAAAACCTTATCTTAATTCTTGACTCTAATTTCTAACTTTAAATCCTTATCCTGATTCCTCACACTGATCCATAACTTTGTTTCGACTGTAGCAAGTGGCTGAATCTTTGCAAGGCCACCCCAGTGTCGCTCGAAGGTCATCCATAAATTATAGTTCCATCAAGAAATCATTGCATAAAACAGGTTCCAAAATTCTGTATGCTCAACATTCTTTCTAAAAAGAAAGTGGACTAGAACCAGCTATCGATTCTGATTCTGAATCTCACTGCTCTAACTAATCAATAAACTTATTTAAGTTAACTTTATCTACTAATTATCCTAGTATTTTTACTTAATTTTACTAAAAATTCTAAATAATTCAGCTTAAATTGTGTAAAGATGTGTTGACCTACTTCTGGAACATTCATCCAAATAAGCAGCTGTAGAATTGAAGAGGGTACAATGAAAAATAAAATTCTACCTTAAAATAATTGTGCTTTAAATGTTCGAAACTATTCATTTAATATTTACGAAAGTGAATCCTGACAAATGTGATAATTTATTTGGTCTTATAGTGCTTGTAACTGTTGGAAGGAATTGTCAAAGAATATATGTAATTGGTTGGTATGCAATTATTTAGCGAAGAAGTCAAAAATGTAACTCTCCTAAAATGTTGTTTATCGGTAACTACGTTAACTTCAAAAGCTAACCTTATACGCTTTAGGATAATGAGGTTATTAATATTTCCATTTCAAGTTTTACCAACATTGTTGTTCTAGGGAAAATTCATTTGTTTATTCATTGGTATGCATATGTAAAATGTCAGTGGTATATCTAGTTTTTGACGGATCATTTTACGTATTGCTTTTAAATATTACCATTTTTAGAGACTATCCATACTTTGAAGGATTGATAGGGTCCACTAGTTTGTTGTGAAAAAAATTAACATTCTAGAAAATTTAGGTAATAACTTCAGTTAGAGACTTACGTTATCTGTAAGTATACTTAAAAACAAGGACAAAACGGATATTTGGTATTTTTTGACTTTTAATGTTGGCACTTAATAATATCTTATTTTAAATCAGATTACTACATACAAACTACTCAAATAAACAGATATTTGTGGATAGACATATTTTTCAATTGGTATTTTGTTATAAATGAAAATACATCCATCAAATAATCGTTGACCAAGATAAAATTTTATAAACTTATATGTTTGAGATCTCTAACTGCTCTTTTACTTACTGTAAGATGACGAACAATTTTAGTCACTGAAGAGGAATTTTTTCCAACAAAATGCACGGACGCAATCCAGTAGTGTTTTAACTGTTGTTACATATATATATATATATATATATATATATATATATATATATATATATATATATATACAGTAGTCATTCACATTGAAACAGTGTATTGTTTCACTAATTATTATCCGCAGTCTATTTATATTAGTTAAGATTTTATTTCATTGAAATAGTGAACCTATCAATGTTAGATTACCGTCGACAACCTGAAAACATTAGACGGAAGTTTCATCCTAGAATTGAACCCATTGCCTGTACATGTACATGACCCCGAAAGCGGAAATCAAACCCATGACTTTTGGTCTCGGGCCCGAACACAACTTCATGAACAATGAGCCAGCATCCAACGGTGTTAATGTCAAACTTCAATCAATTCACGATATTGCGCAACCATCATTCATTGTCTTTAATGGGTAACTACTTCACACCCGAGACGGTTGAACACTGTTAATTACGGCTTCTCATCAGAAATCCGAGAATTATCCACGAAGTTAGTCACTAGTGGGCACATTATATTTGTTCGTAACTCAACTAAATCATCAGTTACTCGTGAAATTTCGGACTGTAAAAGCATTCAGAAGATAGATTTTGTATTCAGTTAATATCATTTGACGAACCAATGAACATGAATGTGTTTTTGAGTTGATTTCAATCCAACAAATTCTGTTTACCTACAATTCAAACAACCAAACGACCATTTTTCTAGGCTTGTATTATTACTATTATCAAACTATCAACTATTAAAATATATTTTAGAATATGTGATAACTTCAGTTATTCAAAATTTCCTTGATATATTTGATAAATTAGTCTTAACTTTTGGTTGCAAACATGTTAAAAGACACTAACTAATCTAGAGCTACATAACTAAAAGAGATGTCAAATTTATGGGATTCTGAAAGCTTCTGGGATTTCATTTGCATTCTTTATCGTATAAAATGGTTGTCACTGGAACTTACGGCATTTCTTCTTTTTTATTTGGCAGTCTCTAAATAAATGTTCTACTGCTATCATAGTCTAATTCATAAAAATAGAAATACTAATTATTCATTTTCTAACATGATTACATCCCAGGGTAGCAAATTGAATGTAAAAATCAATAAACATAAAAGAAACCGCTTAAAATTGTGAAACACTTCACCAACTCCGTGTCAACGAAACTAACTTCGTTTTAACAATTCGAAATAAAAGATGTCCGCTAAATAAATTTGAATTCAGCCAACATTATTTATATAGAGTGATCACTAACAATTCGTAATAAGTTAGGGTTATGTTCAGTGGAACAGAACAAATTTACTAAGCTTATAAACAGAACTAAGATAAATCAAATATATTACAATTGTTTCTCAATTAATAGAGGCCTTTACTCACTTTTCCAAATGACTATGAGTTGTATTCAATTACCGTAAAGAGTTTGCATTAAGTTTTATGCGCCATACCATTAATATGTTAAATGATTAATATCTAGTTGTTTGCTTCCGTAGATCACATTCTTTTATTATGAATACATGAATGAATATAAAGTTAACTAATTGTCTGTCTACTTTTAACTGTCAATAGTATTCACAACGTTATCACACAATTTATCACGATCAGGAAAATCCAAGAAAGTAAACTCAGGAAGTATTAATAAAAACTCAAATTTTGATAGAATGTTCGCAACAAATGTAGAATATAATTTGTCTTACAGATGTAATTCTAAAACAGTAAACGCAATGCTGGCGAGCACAGAGTCTATGGGAAAGCTATAGTAACAAAAAGATCAACTTGGTTTTAAAATTTATCTGTTTCTAAACAAAAAAAACGAATAAATTAGTGCAATAAATAAGGAAATTACAATTATCAAGTAAGATGAGCAAACGTACCGACCAGTATAGCGTGTCTTTAGAAAATGAATAATGAATACGTTTATTTGGGACACACCACAAAGCGAAGCAGAAAAGCAGTGTGAATAAAACGAAGTAGAGAGGCTAGCAAGCCAACTCCTTGGATTACAATGCGAACGAATGGGCGAAGGAAGCGATGTGGAGTATGGTTAACGAGCCAACTCAAAGAGATAGAGCGTGGTTAAGAATATATAGTCAGACAAATATAAGACAGACATGTGACAAGCGAAATAGGCATGCACAAACATGAATTAAAGCGACGAATGATTGAAAAGGTCTAATGACAAGTGTGGGACACGTCATGTGAGCTCATACAAGCCAAACAATAATAAGAAAGAATGGTACATATAAATTGTTGCAATACAAATGGCTTGGTTAAATAAATTAATCGAAAGGGCTTAACCAAATTAAATATAAGCGAACTCGAATATATGTAGAGGCACTACAGAGTCACATCAATATGATAAAATAATAACGTCCTTCAATCAGTAGGTCATTTACAACAATGAAGGTTTACAGACCGGTCAGACTAGATAACGTGATGAGTGCTTAAACCAATCTGATTGATTAGTTATGGCATAACTACAATTAGTTATAAAGTAACTAACAACAAACATCTACAATTTCTTCTCTAAAATCAACGACAAATAATATAAGTAAATGACAAAACAATTTAATTTATGACACCAATTGTTCGATAAGGTTCTGTTCTCTTTACACACAATGACACAACATCACTCTAAATATTAAGGTTTTCATCACAATCTGTAAATGAATCTTTAAAATCAATAAAAAAATCTCAGTGACACAATAGCTGTAAAATTAACGCAAAGGTTTGATGTCTATGTAACTCAGATCAGGAATGTGATAAAGAAACAAAATACAATATTCACAGAGAATTTAGGAGCGAAGATTGAATACAACGGTTGATAAATTTTCAATAATTATGACTAACCAATCATATTGTTGCTATTCCCTCCCAATAAAAAAAATCAGTAAAATCATGCTACTCATATACGTACGTATAAAACAAGAAAATGATTTTTATGTTTACAGCTATGAAATGTAGACGTATTAGGTTGTTTAGAACAAAATTTTTCATTGCCTACTTCAGTGCATGTTTTTTAATGATATTTCTCCTATTGATAAATTCGTTACATTGGTCAACTTTAGATATCGCTTTGATAAAATCAACAATTTTGACAGGAAGAACCAAAATTCAAGAAACAGAAAATAATCAATCAACTAACCATGCAAAATTAGACTGTTTTTTGGAATTACAAAATCAGTTGCGCAATCTGTATTTGGTTGATATTATTCAGTCAGAGAGATTAACTCGTGTAAAATTGGAGAACTCACCATATTTTAGTACACAGCAAACATGTCAAGAAATTTGTACTAAACTACCAGTTATACCTTTAAACATGTCGCGTAAATATACTCCAATTGGTAATCTTACCGTTTCTAAAGAACTTTCAACAAATTTGAAAGAAGTGATCAATTTAAACAAACCACATATTCAAGGTGGCGGTTGGACATATAAAACATCTGACAAATGTAACAACAATACTGAAAAATATAATCAAACTGGTGTTGCTATAGTTATAGCATTTCGTGATAGATGGATTCAATTGACAAGTGTATTATCAACACTAATACCAATGTTACGCCGTCAAAGATTATGCTATCGAATATTTGTTATAGAAGAAGCTGGTAATGGTTTATTTAATCGAGGTATGATTTTCAATGTTGGTTTCATGGAAGCTATGCAAAGATTTCATTTTGATTGTGTTGTTTTTCATGATGCTGACTTAGCTCCAATAAATGATTTAAACCCTTATGGATGTGACAAACAAACATTCAAACAACCAGTACATCTTGGTGTTGGTTTAGATATTAGAAATTTTCGTCTAAACTATCCAAAACTGATTGGTGGTGTATTAAAGATGTCAAACAAGCATTTTGTTCAAGTTAATGGACATTCTAATCTCTATTGGGGTTGGGGTCAAGAAGATGATGACTTAGAAAGACGATTAGAACATGAGAAAATTGATTATTATCAAATGTCTCCTAGTATTGCACGTTATAAAGCTTTACCACATGAAACACAGAATAAGGGAGGAAATCCACGAAAAATTCATCTCAAACTTTTAGCTACAGCTGTCCAACGAATGCATCATGATGGACTCTCTACATTAGATTATAAAGTATTAAAAGTAACTGAACATAAACTATTCACACATATATTAGTAGATTTAGGAATTCAACCGAAATTTTATAATTGTGATTGATAAAAAATTCAACTCACATTCTAATAGTAAGAATCATAGTATTCATTAGAATGAAAATAATCTAAAACTAGAAGGCAAGTGTACAAAAACAAATTATTGACCAAAATCAACACGAAGCATTTAATAAATATGAATTTTTATTTTAGAATTTACTTTTGAAAATTACAGTAAATTTTTAATTATCATGCATATTGAAAAAGAAAATACAAATTAACTGTACACTTTTAGTATTGTAGAAGATATTTTGAGAGATCTACATTTAAACAATGAATTTTAAGGTTTTTCAATTTTGTTTCGGGTGTATTTTCTTTCATTTTTAATCATTTGAACAGCATATGATCTAATGCATTGAACACTGAATTTCGAATTCGAATTAAATATTTCCGTAACAAATTACAGTCAAACATCAATATCTATCTATTTTGTTTTACTAATTACACACACAGTTTTTGAATTATTCATTAATTGGTATGAAAAACTGTACTATTCATTACTTACTAACCACAGCATTTGCAAAATATGTACACAAATATTAATCAACAGAATTTACTTATCGTACAGCCCTCATTAACAATGCACATTAACACTACAATAAATGGATTTATTGACAAAATTCAAATAATGATAATTTTGTTGTTTTCTTCTTGTATCAAAACCATTAACTCATTTGGTCAAATGTTAAAATGCATTTGTATAGTATGAGTTCTTGTTTTCTTTTGATCAGTTTACACTAAAGGAATGGACTACTACTGTTGGTTACAAGTGTGTGAAAGAAGTATGCATTTGTTAAGAAGTCAACAGAGAGATTAAGTTATTTTCATTAAATTTGCTTTTCACTATTAAAATGTCTTTAATTAGATTACCGTTAATGTATGTGAAGTATCTATACAAGCTAAGAGTTAATAATTAATAAAAGTGGTTTAAAAAATTAATGAGTTAGTTCCCAATTCTGGTTTTCCTTTTTAAATGAACAACATTAAAAAAAAATATTTGTGAAGTTGTATTGAGCAAACAAATTAAATTCAATTTTTTTCCATAGTTTATCAAAAGAATCCTCTTCAAATAAATCAATAGCTTCATTTGATATTTTATAGACTTTTAAAAGTAATTGAACAATTGATAATGTTAAATTAGTTACTTTTTATTATTATTATTACTATTAGTTTGTTCAAAAGTCAAGATATATATGCGTTAATTTTCTTTTATTCAACTATTTTATATACAATAATGATTCATATTCTGTTGAGTATTTGAAATGGGGAAAAAATTAATTCCTTTCTATGTCATCTAACCAACTGGTAAAAAGAATAAGCAACCTATTCTTAATGATAATAATATTAATTGTAATAATAATACCCATTACTATGTTAATGCTTAAAAAACATTACTAGAAAATGAACAAAACTTACAAACTGATTTTAAGAACACATTTCTGATAGAAAGGAAAAGTTATAAACGTAAGTAATTGTCAAAAATAGTTTAAACGCCTATTGAATAACAAGCAGTATTCCATTTTATTGCAATCAAGTGATAAAATAATCGAAATTATATTCAAGATGACTGAATGCGTTTATATACTAAACAAAATTTACTATACAGTTATAAAACATTGAATCTAAACGAAATAAACAATGTTATTTTCAAATAGATAATCACTAAGTCTTACTTTCATATACAGTAATATTTTCATGTACATGTACGAAAAACAGAAACTAATCAAGTGAATAAAAATGGTGAGAGAGATTACACAATCAAAGTGTTGGGGACGTTAGATCTCCAGAACTTACTTGGAAAATGTCTTAATTTTCGATTTTTTGTGTTTTCCCGCAAAAGTTGTTTAGTTGACCTTCAGTTTACATTTCCCACTCGGAAAATCCTTGACTGTCATTCGTTGATGGATTATTTAGCACGCTGTTTTTGCGGCTCTTCCAAAGGATGTTTCTATCATGCATAAATAAGCTCGATTTGTGTGCCTGGCGACCTCTTATTTTCTGGGTGCTCGTGGAATACACTTTCTACACCTTATCGAGACTTCTAGATATAGTTAGTCGGGCAGGGGACAACAGATTAGAATAGCCTATCGTGTCACCTCATCATTTGTCTTTGCTCCGTTTAACGAGTAAGATGAACTCGTAATAGTTCAAGCATATCAACTGACGAACATATCACAAATATAGTAAGTAAATTGCGATAATACGATAACACAGAATTATTCACGATGATGAAACTACTCAATAATATGAACAGATATTTTGATATAGCAAGAAGTTCAAAACTTCGCAAATAAACTTATTGTTAAAGGAGTTATCGAGGAGATTTGTTTGACTTATTCGTAGCTCTGCAGCACATGTTTACAACTTTACTCACTTATATGATTTTGCGCGATAATCGTTTAACAATAATGGTGACAACTTTCCTGTACTCAATATGACTTGAATTCTTATCACAAATTCTCACTAAGATTTTAGAAATACATCTCAAAATACGCTATTAATTTTACAATTCAAGTAGTAAAGAAGAGATTTAAAAGAGGGTTAAGGAAAGCAAAATAAAGTTAGTATGAATTTATCACTTCAATCTAGTCACCGATTACTATTTTTGAATATTTTATTTGTATTCAGCATCTAACTCTACTAATTGTTGATTAAAACTGACACCTATTACTATCACACTACTTTGTCTTACTGAGTAGTAAATAATGTGCATTTGATTTGATTCAAATAGTATCACTCTTAAAATGAACTATATTAGTTAAAAGTAGGTTTCATTTATCAAACTACTTTATCAGTGCGTTACAAAATGAAATTTCTAATGGGCTAATCAATGAACTTAACATATTCCCTGACCGTAGCTGCTGCCTTGACGTGGTGGCCGGGCATGTCCATCTCGATGACCCGACCTAGCTAGATTGGCTGGAACATATTTTCGTTTAGGTCCTACAGTGCCAGGCAGGTCGATTGGAAAACAGTAAGACTAAAAGCAGCAACTTAAGTTATGGAGCCGAATTCATACTGCTGACTATGGAGGGTGTAACAGGAATAAGGTGCTTTCCTTGGATAAGCAGTATCTGCAGCGATGCCACTTTCTCACAACGAACGAGACGAGTTGGAATGGGTATCCCTAAAACTGCCACACCTCACCATATTCCGTGGATTTCATACCAGCGTTAAGGCCTTTAAAAGAGTGAAGCTAACGAGCTGAAAACTCATACGTTGCCGGTCTATAACAGTTGTCCCTTGGACTCTGAGATCACGCTCCCAGGTCGATATGACAAATGTTAACCGAACAACTTTCCAGGTCCCTCAGGAAATACCACGGTGTAGGTAGCCGATAAGTGACATCTGCTCTCATACGCGTAACAGCACGCGTGACCGAATCGGTCACAACCAAATCCTTTTTTCATCTCTTAATAACTATCTCATCTCTACATCTAACTCTCCTTACATTCCCTCATCACTTCACGCCACTGATGCAAACGCTTCGATTACACGAAACGTAATTCCTGGTCTTCTGAAATTCAGTTCTAAACTACATGTTGGAGCTTTTATTGTTCGAATCGTTTGCCAAATAGGATAAAATGTTTTCTTAGCTGGGAATTTACAATTCCACGCTACTGATATATCCTGCATCTCCGAAACGTGCATACGTGATCCGAGTAAAATCGTTTATTTGACCTCAATTGGTCAAGATAAAGATCCATCTCGGCCTACGCTTCGTGTATCTGGAAGCCTAACCGATGGTTCCCTCGGCCTTGCTGATATGGGTATAGCATTCAGTTCTAAAGCAGAACTTACTCTCTTAGACTGGACCTCAGTCTGACTCAATGGGACAGTAAGGACTCAGGAAGACAGAGACACTCACCTTTTCCTCTTCGTTTTCTCTACCTACGTCCCCACTAGTTGCAGTTCAGATGAGGTAAAAGATGAATTTTACAGAAGGCTTCCCGAATTTCTTTAAAAAGTTAAGCGCTCTTATGTAGTAATAATGGCTGGTGATTTTAATGCTCAAGTAGTTGGATTAAGCGAAACTGAAAGACACTTATTTGGATCTTATGATGTTGTGGCTAATCGAACAGATAATGGTGACCGTCTGCTGCACCTACGCTAAGATGATAGCCTGTTTCTGGCAAATACTAAATTAAACATAATGATCGTCACCTTTTCACATGGCAAAACCGAAATTCAACTCAACGCTGGACCCAACTAGACCATATTGCTGTCAGTCACCGATAATAAGCCTGTCCAATGGTCACAAATATTGGTGGAAAATGAAAGCAATAGAGATGGAAAAGACAGCTGGATTGGGTAACACTAGGCAACTATTCTGATTTATACTAGGGAAACCGGTATTATCAGTGAGACTATCTACGAAAAAGATGGGACTATTATTCACTCCAAATTCAGGAGATTGGATCGATTGGCAGAAGAGTTTATACAACAGTCCAGCTGGCCTTCAGCCATACTTCAACTTCTCACCATCTCCAGTTATCCTGAATGGAAAATTGAAGTTAGTCCTCGAACTCTTAATGAGGTTGAAAAGGCTAAAGAAAATCTGAAGCGTGAGGGAGTAGCAGATCCTGATCGATTGACCTTTGAGATTTCTAAGGATGGTGAGATTAACTGAGGCCATAAGTAGGATTGTAGAACTGAGCGTAATCTCATCTGACTGGTCTTAAGCATTGACTGTTCCAATTTATAAGAAGGACAAAAGTCCTCTTGTGACAATCACAGACGAATCAGTTTAACTGATATAATGCCTTAATTTTTTGCCCAGATTATACTTAGACGCCTAACTAAAGCTCGTGAGGAACAAACTCGCTGGTCACAGACTTAGAGTTGGCTGTATGGGTACTAGGTAAAGGTTGCAGATCAATAGATGAAGTAGTGAATCTGCATAAGTTGAGGTGGTTTGGACATGTGTTATGTATGCCTAGCCGCTGACTATCTCCATGCGCGATAATGTCAGATGTAGGTGTAGGCTGGATGAAAGCTAGGGGCAAC